CTGGGGGGGAAGAGCTTGAACCAGAAACCGAATTACGGCACACTCGTCAGCTGGCTGTTGCTTCTACTTTGAAAAGAGGACATAAATAATTCCTGCGTCCCGCCTCGGATGGCATCCCAATTGGAATTGTAATCAGAAACGAGAATACGAATGAGAATGCGAATAAGAACAATAAAAAGAATAAGGCGAGTGCCACAAATATTGCTGACACCGTAACTGTTACTGCTACCGTGATGACAATGAAACCTGATGGCGTGATGCTACTGTTACTGCTACCGTGATGCTACTGTTACCGTGATGCCAGGCGATTTGTGAGGGTGCTCAAGCGATTTGGACAATTCTGCTAAGCAGTGTGAGGATGTCTCAAGCGATTTGGCTAACTCTAAGAAGAAAGGTGGGGATGTATCAGGCGATTTGTGACATTTTACTAAGATGTGTGAGGATGTGTCAAGCGATTTCTTCTTCTTCCTTCTCTACTCTTTGTTCTGAGCCGCTTGTTTTTTTTTCCGATGAGGTTTCTATTGAAAATCCTTTAGAGAAATGCGTTTTTTTCGGCCGTCGTAGGGGGTGGTCCACCCGAAGGTATCGCCCCCACCCCGCACCGTGGCGTTATCTTAGCACCCGGCCAAAAAACATATCCTGGCGAAGGACCCAACCATAACAATTGTGAATAACGCTTTGTGGGTGCCGCTTTCGGTGGGGCTCCTTATGGGGCCACGAAACGCGTGCCACGAAACCCTGTCCTGGGCGTACGGGACGCATGAGGGCGGTAGCACTGGGGCCTTCGGTGGAGCTCCCTATGGGGCCACGAAACGTGTGAGGGGTGTGCCGAAATGGGTGCGGCGCCGCCATACGAACGCAGCCACTGGGGCCTTCGGTGGAGCTCCCTATGGGGCCACGAAACGTGTGAGGGGTGTGCCGAAATGGGCGCGGCGCCGCCATGCCAACGCAAGCCACTGGGGCCTTCGGTGGAGCTCCCTATGGGGCCACGAAACGTGTGAGGGGTGTGCCGAAATGGGTACGGCGCCGCCATGCGAACGCAGCCACTGGGGCCTTCGGTGGAGCTCCCTATGGGGCCACGAAACGTGTGAGGGGTGTGCCGAAATGGGTGCGGCGCCGCCATGCGAACGCAGCCACTGGGGCCTTCGGTGGAGCTCCCTATGGGGCCACGAAACGTGTGAGGGGTGTGCCAAATGGGGCCGCATGGCCTTCGTGCTCCCTATGAGGGTGTGCCGAAACGGCAGCTCCCTATGACCGAAACGCAGCCACTGGGGCCTTCGGTGGGCTCCCTATGTGGCCACGAAAGTGTGAGGGGTGTGCCGAATGGGGCGCGCGCCGCCATGCGAACGCAGCCACTGGGGCCTTCGGTGGAGCTCCCTATGGGGCCACGAAACGTGTGAGGGGTGTGCCGAAATGGGTGCGGCGCCGCCATGCGAACGCAGCCACTGGGGCCTTCGGTGGAGCTCCCTATGGGGCCACGAAACGTGTGAGGGGTGTGCCGAAATGGGTGCGGCGCCGCCATGTGGACGCGGCCACTGGGGCCTTCGGTGGAGTTCCCTATGCGGCCACGAAACGTGTGAGGGGTGTGCCGAAATGGGTGCGGCGCCGCCATGTGGACGCGGCCACTGGGGCCTTCGGTGGAGCTCCCGGACGCAGCCACTGGGGCCTTCGGTGGAGCTCCCTATGGGGCCACGAAACGAGTGAGGAGTGTGCCGAAATGGGTGCGGCGCCGCCATGTGGGCGCGGCCACTGGGGCCTTCGGTGGAGCTCCCTATGGGGCCACGAAACGTGTGAGGGGTGTGCCGAAATGGGTGCGGCGCCGCCATGTGAACGCGGCCACTGGGGCCTTCGGTGGAGCTCCCTATGGGGCCACGAAACGTGTGAGGGGTGGGAGGAGGGAGGAGGGAGGAGGCGGAGGAGGAGGAAGGAAGGAAGGAAGGAGAGGAGACGCGGGGCACCGTCTCTTCAAAACGAGGACACAACACCACAGGATGGTTGGGACATATCCGTGTGACAGCCAGATCGTGCTCGTCGTCGCCGAAGATACGAAGATACGAACGAAGATAAGAAGAATAAGAAGCAGGAAAGAACGAATACTACGACTAATGAGAAGCAGAATGCGACTGATTGTAATAATACGGATAATAAACATCGTTTTCCTCATGATCCTCATGGAATCGAGGTACTCCGAACACAGCAGCGACCCTCGCAGACTACGAATGAGGATACGACTAAAACGAACGAATATACGAACGAAGACTAAGAAGGAATGTGAGGATGTCTCAAAGGATTTGGCCAATTCTATTCAGACATGCGAGTTGGCCAATTCGAATAAAAAATGTGAGGGAACTCAGGCGATTTGGACAATTTCGTTAAGCAATGTGAGGATGTCGCAAGCGATTTGGCGAATTCCAAGAAGGAGTGCGAGGATGTCTCAGGCGATTTGTGCAAGTTTACTAAGATGTGTGAGGATGTTTCAAGCGATTTCCTCCTCTTCCTTCTCTACTCGTTGTTATGATCCGCTTGTTTTTTTTTCCGATGAGGTTTCTATTGAAAATCCTTTAGATAAATGCGTTTTGTTTCGGCCGTCGTGGGGGGTGGTGCACCCGAGGGTATCGCCCCCACCCCGCACCGTGGCGTTATGTTAGCACCCGGCCAAACAAATATCCGTGCGACAGCCAGGTCGTGCTCGTCGTCGCCGTAATCGTCGGAAGACACCAATGGTAGATACTTACTCCTGACAACCATGACATGGCTGAGAGGCCCAAGGAACAACTGATGTTTCAGACGATTTGGCAAATTTTAATAAGAAGTGCGAGGATGTCTCAGGCGATTTTGCCAATTCCACTAAGAAGTGCGAAAATGTCTTAGGCGACGTGGCCAATTCTACAAAAAATATAAGGCGCCACTGCTTCTTTCGGAGTGCCTGGACTCCTGCCAGTACCTGCACTACTGCCTCCGAAGGCCTCTGAGAATAAGAGCCCCCTGGGCCCTGAGAGGCCCTGGACCCCGATGGGGGAGGAGGTCAGGCGGATCGGCCGAAGGCCTCTGAGAATAAGAGCTCCCTGGGCCCTGAGAGGCCCTGGCCACTGAGGGAAGGCGAGGGGCCATTGGCTGAAGGCATCTCCAGGGCCCTGCTATGAGAACCCCTTGCGATACGTCTTGGACCGTCTTGGATTCTTCTGGAACCTCTCGGCCATCTTGGATTATTATGAGGCTCCCTGGGCCGCGCAGGACTCGTGAGGCTCCTGTAGAAGAAATAAGAGTTGGAGCAGGAATAGGAGGAGAGGGAGGAGGAGTTGGAGTAGGAGTAGGAGTATAGGAGTAGGAGTAGGAGTAGGAGTAGGAATGCAGAAATGAGTACGAGTACGCGTGGACGAGTAGGCCAAGTTTCTTAAGAATTGCGAGGATGTCCCAAGCGATTTGGCAAATGCTTATAAAACCGCAAGGATGTCTCAGGCGATGTGGCCAAGTCTAGTACAGAACTGTGAAGATGTATGGGGCGATTTGGCCAATTCTATTAAGAAATGTGACGACGTCTTAGGCGATTTGGCTAGTTAATTCGATTAAGAAATGTAAGGATGTCTCTGGCGATTTGGCCAAAGGCGATTTGGCCAAGTCTGTTAAGAAATGATGATGTATCAGGCGATTTGACAACTGCTGATAAGAATTGCGAGGATGTCTCAGGCGATGTGGCCACTTCTAATAAGAAGTGTAAGGCTGTCTCAAGCGATTTGGCCAAGTCTGTTAAGAAATGTGAAGATGTCTCAGGCGATTTGGCAAATCCTGATAAGAATTGCGAGGATGTCTCAGGCAATGTGGCAAGTTCTATTCGGAAATGTGAGGACGTCTCAAGCGATTTGGCCAATCTTATCTGAAAATTGAACGCTTGAGTTTTGAAAGGGCGGCAGGCACAGGCAAGAACTCTCCTGAGCACTGAAAGGTTGCCCTAATATTTCCAAGACTGTGAAAAAAAAGCCAGCTGGGGGGGAAGGAGAGAAAGGGGGAAGGAGGAGGAAAATGATGAAGCAATGTGAGGATGTCTCAAGCGATGTGGCAAATTCTGCTAAGAAGCGTGAGGATGTCTCAGGCGGTTGAATCTATTCTACTAAGAAACGTAAGGATGTCTCAGGTGATTTGGCCAATTCGAGTAAGAAAGGTGAGGATGCCTCAAGCGATTTGGCCAATTCTATTTAGAAATATGAGGATGTCTTAAGAAATTTCGCCAATTCTATTAAGAAGTGTCAGGATGTCTGAGGCGATTGAGCAATTCTAATAAGACATCTGAGGACGTCTCAGGCGATCTGGTCAATGATATTAGGAAATGTGAGGGTGTCTGAAGCAATTTGGCAAGTTCTATTTGGAAATGCGACGACGTCTCAAGCGAGTTGGCCAATCCTATTCAGAAATGCGTTGATGTCTCAGGCGATTTGGGCACTTGTATTAAGATATGTAAAGATTCCTCAAGCGATTTGGCAAGTTTTCGTAAAAAATGTGAGGATGTCTCAAACTATTTGGCCAATTCTCGTACGAAATGTGAGGATGTTTCAAGCGATGTGGCAAATTCTGCTAAGAAATATGAGGATGTCTCTGGCGATTTGGCCAAGTCTATTAAGACATGTGAGGATGTCTCAGGCGAGTTGGCCAATTCTATTAAGAAATGCGAGGACGTCTCAGGCGATGTGCTTCCTCCTCCTCCTCTTAGCCGCAGGTGCCGGAGTTAACGCTTCCAGGCGCGGGGGGGATATCGTTTCGCCGGAGAGGGGGGGGGGTCCTTAATAGCTTCTCCGGGTTAACCTTGTCATGTTTTCGGGCCAAACGTCGTCTCTCCGGCGGCCGTCTCGAGCGATCCCAGCACCCCCGGAAAACCCTCGACGAGGCGCAGCTGCTGGAGAGCATCCCGAGGCTGGAGAGCCGCCGGGACCCGAGGACGAGGCCACAAAATCTTAGACCTCGTTATCTCGGTGGTTCCCTCACCCTTTCTGCTCCAGTTCGCGCGCCGCCAGCAGGGCGCCCAGCATGCCCCATCGCTCGGGCGCGGCACCGCCCCGCGGCGCGGGCGCCGCGGGCGGTGGGCGGCCGCCGCCGACCGCGGCGGCGGCGGCCCGCTGCGGCTCCGCCCGCCGGGAAAGCCCGTAGCCGGACTGCAGCAGCACGGCGGCCTCCTCCTCCGCGGCGGGTCTTGGGTGGCCTTTCCCTCGCTTTTCCCTCCTCTCTTCCTTCCTCCTCCTCCTCTCCTCCTCCTCCTTTTCCTCGTCTCCTCCTCCTCCTCCTCCTCCTCCCCCTCCTCCCCCAGCTCAACCGCATTATCCTCCTCCTCCTCCTCATCCATGAGTTTGCCTTGTCGATGTGGTGAGGTTTTTCACCACGAGCGGCCGTGCCCTGGTGCGGGCGAGTCACAAGAGGCTAAGCCCTCCTTCCGCCCTAGCGTTGGGAGGGGTTGTGACAGAAAGCGGCGTTGGGAAGGGAGGTCGGCGGACGTGGCAGCAATAGTACTCGGCACTGCAACCCTGCTGATTTCCCCCCTCATCCTTCCTGTACTTCGCCCGCCCATAATGTGGACGGGCACGAGCATGAAAACGCAGACCTCCACTGGAGGCAGATGTCATCCGCAGATGGGATCACGGCGAGATCTTTGTCCCGAAGGGTCCTCCACAGGAGGCGCAAGAATCTACATCCACCGGAGACTGAAACGAACCGCGGATGGGCTCTCTCCGGGATCTTCGTCCCGAAAGTCCTCGACGGGAGGGCGACGTTGACTGGGACTCAGCCGCCCGCTTCGTCCCGAAAGTCCTCGACGGGAGGGCGACGTTGACTGGGACTCAGCCGCCCGCGGGATCGTCGCCCCGCACTGTCCTCCGCCGGAGGAAAAAGATGTTATGCGGGGGCTCCGCGCTGGGCCAGGTAACGGAAAGAGCGAGGTACGAGTGATGACGTTCTGGTGTGGGCGAAGCCCTTAAGGGGGGGTCCAAGGGGGGGGCGCAGGCCGGGCGCAAAAGTCTAATGGCCGTTTTTGGCAGTTGCCCCTGGGGTGTTGCCTGTTTTTCGGGTTTCCCCCCCAAGACGGCCCAAGAGCGCTGAGGCCACCCCGCCTCTCGTCATGCCGGGCAGCCGCCGCTGGCGGCACCGTTCACGCGGGCCACTGCAGCGCCCCTTTTTCGAAGCGCCGTCGGCGAGGAAACGGGGGCACTGATTGCCCCAGTGGCCCTCCTGGAAGCTAAGCACAAGCGGCACGCATCGTGCCCCAGCAGTTCCGAGGGAATGCCCCCTGGGGGAACTGGCCCGCTGCGGCCGTGGAGGCACCGCCCCTGCGTGCCTTTTTATGTCTCTCGCTGACCGGTCCACTCCGCTCGCCCTTGCCCTTGGGCACCTTGCCTTTCGCGCCCCGCTTGCCCCCCGTGTCGCGGCTTGCGGCGGAGTAGCTCGCTCTTGTGCCCCCCCCGCCTGCCGCGGCCGCGCCGGAAAGCGACCTGCGGCGGACTGGCGACTCGCACCGTGCTGGGGCAGCCTCTCCTCCCAGGTCTACGCTGCCGCGCTCCGACGAGGCCGACTCAAACCGCTGCGGCCCGGTGACGATGCGCGATCGTCTCGGGCGCCCGCGCCTGCGCCCTCGCCCGGCAAGCCTGCTCCTTCCTCGGCATCTCAGCGCGGTCAGAGCGGCAGGCGGCCTGGCGGCCGAGGACGAGCATCCAGAAGGCCGGTGCCGCCGGATGCTCTTCCTGCAGGGCGTCTCGAACTTCCGCCGCGCGCACTTCCTGCCGTCGCGAACCGCGTCGTTCCAGCGCTCGGACAGGTCCTCCAAGGCGCGCGGCGACGGGCGGACCAAATGGCCTGGATACGCCTCGCGGAAGAAGTTCCCGAGCCATAGCAGCCAGCAGCTGTCGCTTCGCTTCTGGGCCGCCCTACGGTCAAACGCGAGCCACTGTTCGTCCTCTTTCAGGACTTGCCCTTCGTCCGCCACGCATTCCGCCGCCGCGCCGCCGCCGCCGCGCCCCCCGCGCGCCCGGCGCGCCGGTCCGGGCCCCAGGCCGACATGAGGCTCATGCCCCGCGCTCCTGCCCCCCTCGCGCTCCTTGCGCCCGTTCGGGGCCGGGGCGCCACCCCGCGGCGTCTGATTGGCCTTGAACATCTGGACCTGGCGACCGCCGCCCGATTCTTCCTCGACCGCGCCGCCCTCCGCCCAGCTGCGGCCCCGCCGCTCTGCGTCGCTGCGCGATAGGGGCGCCGCCCACGCGGCGTCGCGACCAGCCATGGCGCGGGGGCAGGCATTGGAGGGCTCGCGCGCGCAGGCGCTTGCTTGGGCCTCAGCGGCGGCGCGACTCACGCTGTCACAGGAAAGGGGGGGGCGAGGTAGGGCGGAGGACCTCGTTGCTTCCCGTCGCCAGTCGCCTTGCCTCGCCTGATGGCTCGGGCGCTCATGTCATGCGCGCGCGTCCGACTCGTTCCCCGCACCTCCCGTGCCCGGTCGCCCAGGCCACATCATGTCAACCCGTCTGACATAATCCACCTGCGAGGCGACCACCTCAAACCCCCCTTGTTGCCATCTCTTTGCGGGCCAACGACGCGTGGGATTTCAGGGCGGCGAGCAACGCAGGATCGTGCCGATCGTCGGGGATGTTGCCTTCGATCTTCGCATGATCGCGCAGGCTCCGACACTCGGTAAGAAGCGGCAGCGGCATCTGCGCCTCGCCGTACTCCACCACCGGTTTGTCGCCCCATCCGCGCAGGGCCTCGCGCAGGAGCGCCCGCGTGTAGTAGGCCATGCCGTGGCCCTCAAGGCGCGCCGCCGTTTCGGCGAAGAACGTCGACGCAACCGCGCGGTGGCTCGCCCGGATGCGCCAGTCCAGGATGGATATACGCAGCTCCCCCTGCTCCATACAGTCCTAGCCGACCACTGCCACCACCACTCCGGTCTGCGACGACTGAGCGCGGCCGCGAGTCCCGCCTCTTCTCGATTGCTGCGCGGAAGTCCTCATGATGCGTCGGTGCGATTTCTCCCCACTTCAGCTCTCGGTCTGCAGTCTCGCGGCCCAGCATGACGGACCCCGCCCCCCAGTGATGCGCCGACGCTACTTCGTGCAAGGGTCGCGAACCGTCCTGCTCACGCCCGCCCACTCGCCTCATCGTTGCGGGCATTTCCACCGCGGCGAGCGTCGGCTCACACCCCCGCTTCTTCTCTTCCTCGACCAGCGCGAGCATTCGGTCGGCCGGATGTTGGAACTTCTCTGGGGCCCATCATGTGACCCCACCGGGCCCGATGTTCGGCGCGGCGCCACGCCGCCCCGTGCTTCTCATAAGTCCCGCGCGGCGCCCACAGACTCCAGACGGGTTGCCCCTGCTCGGTCAGGGCCCAGCCTGGGGCATCCGCGCACCGCGCCAGCTCCGCGGAGGAGCCCTAAGGCAGGCCGCCCCCCTGCGGGGCCCTGAGCTTTCGCGGCGGCGTCGTCCATGACGCCCTCGTCGTCGACCCCTCGCCGCCTCTGGAGCGCTCTCCCTTCCCCCCCCCCGGCACCAGGCCCCCGGCCGCTTCAAGGTCCTCCGGTTCGGGATTCAGGCCCGCGAGGCCCTCGAACTCCTCGCGACTCATCGCCCTGCGGATCTCGTCGAGCGACCTGCGCGCCCCCCCTTCTTCGGCCAGGCGTTCCTCGTCGGGGCCAAGCGGCCTTGCTCAGGGGCGACCAGGAACGGCGCCCCGCCAAGCCGCGCCCGCGCGTCGTCGATCTTTCGGCCGAACACCGTTGCAGGGCCGCACCATTCCGGCTTGTTTTCCCGACGGCCTTTTTCGGTGTGGAAGGGCCTGAAGAAGAGCGATCGTTCTCATTCGCTCCAGGGCGCTCGCAAGGTTGCCGCGGCCCCGCGCGGCCACTGCCCGCCGGGCCAGCTCCTGGCTCCTTGTCTTGATGAGGCACTGACGGCAGCGCTTGCGGATCCTGAGCCGCCTGGTCAGCGGGCCACCTTCTTCGGCGACGCAGGGGCGATAGCTCGCCGCCTTGCCCCCGCGCCGGCACCTGCCCACCAACTTCATCTTCTGCCCGAGCAGAAGCAGAGGCCGGCCGCGGCCGCAATGGCCTGGGACACGATTTACCGCGGATAGCGAAGGTCTTCATCCCGCCCAGGCCGCTGTAGGCTCCGTGCTGGATGCTCTTCTTCATCGCCCCTTGTGCCTCCTGAATCTCGCGCTCCACCTTGCCCTTCTGCCGAGGGGCGCGCGCCGCGGCCGGGTCGCGGGCGCTGCCTCCTCGCGACGGGGCGCCCGCGAAGCTGCTGCTCGCGAGACCCCGCTCGTCGCTGGCCGGCCCGGGAAAACCATCGCCTTTCACGCCGCCCCCGCAGCTCGTCACAGCTGCGCGCCTGCGCTTGTCGCGCGGCGCCCCGCGGCCGCGCCCGGCGCCGGCGTGAACCGCCAGCCTTGGCCACTCTGATCGCTGACCTTGAACGGGTCTGCCTGGGCCACTCCGCGGAAGGTCAGATCGCCCTCGCGCAGGAGGGCTGGGCGCGGAGGTCGCTCGCGCGGCCGCTCGGCGCAGCTCGAGCACCGCGGCGCCTCGGCACCGGCGACGGCCACCTCGGACCCGCCTGCTCTTGCCGCCAGGCGCGCCAGGTCGCCCGGACTGGCGCGCCCCGCACCGATTCGCAGCCCCCTCAGGTTCCACCCGAGCTCGGGCGCCGCGCATCGGGAAACTGGAGCGCGACGCCGCCCGGCATTGCTGCTCCATTGCGTTATTCTGCTGCGGCCGCAGGGTTACATGCAAGCGGGGATTCGCCCTTCCCGGGCCCCGCGCCAGCGCGCCCCGCCACGGGAACTTTGATCGTCGGGTGGCTGTAAGTGCGGTAAGAGCGTTCATCTTACATAATCTTAGTTAAGCCATAGAACGTACACTTGTTGATCGCGCATCTCATGTGTGCATATGCAATACTTATAGTGTTTGTAAGTGTAGATGTAAGTAATATACTAAGTTAGATATCTCTGCTAAGTCGATGGGGCTGAACATATTCGTGTTGTTGTTAATCATTTGCGTAT